GGCCATTATGAAGTTTCTAGATATTTGGAGATACCTGGAGTATACATATTTTCGGCTTCTACACATTTTCTTCATATTTAAGGTAATTTATGAATATCATGCCACAAAAGATGGTTGTATTATGCGGCAAACGATTTGTCAAGCCATTTTCAAACCTTCTCGTAATAACTGAAGTGCTACTCTGCGAGCGTACGCCCCATTGATGCGAAGCGATGATAGTCAGATGGCACAAGGTCTGTGGAGTATAGCGAGTGGGGAGCCATGTCCCACTCAAACAATTTCACGGTATATTTCATATCTTTTAGCCTATTCAAGTTGCCTTTCGATCAATGAGTGTTTTAAATAAGTCATTTGTTGGCGTTAGCGTTGTGTACATAATTAGCTTCAGTTGAAATATTTTTATGTCTTAGGGATAATGGAAGATTTTTTATTGTTACCCTATATTAGTAGAGAGCAGTTTTCATTAAAAGTTTTCTGATGTAGGTCCATGTTAGTACCAGGCTGAGAGAAAGAATATAACAATATCTAAATCTATTTTAAATTCTTTAATGTTTGCATTAAATAAATTATTTTAAAATAATTTATATTTATAAATTTTATAATTATATTATTGTTTTATAAATACTTTAATATTTAGATTTTAATATTTAGGAAGAGCATTAGCGATCTCTTTCTTCCATACAGAAAATACAATGCTATTTTATTAGTTTATTAAAATAATTTTTATGTTATTTTATCTTAATTTTTTATTATGTATACTTTCAATATGTTTATTGTTATAATTACATTTCTATTGTAATATTTATAAGCTCTGTTAATTATGTTTTCAACGTATATTATTATTATTATAATTATTATTAGTACATATTATGGGTACATCCATGAGTACTTAAATACTAAAGTTTATTCTCCCATCCTTATGACTTAAGAATTTATTTCATTCTTCTACAAACCTAATCAATCAATCAAATATCTGCATCCATTCCATGTAATTGCCCAAAAACATAAACAATTTTAATTATTTGTGAATGTAAGATAAGCTCTTCAAACCAAAATACAATCACTTAGACGAGAATTTACAAGGTATAATAGCAATTGAACATATAATATAATTCATAATAGAAATAAAAAAGTATAGCACTAAAAAATGAACGCCAAATCCTCCGGTATTGTTTGAAATAAGTAGTACATGGTTAAAGAGCTCCAGTGCATAAGCACAAGAACAATGCAATTATGTGCTGTGTAATCATGGTGTATCATAGTGTATTATACTATTTGCCATACAATAAATGCCAAACAATAAATATTTTAAACCCCATTTTATGTATTATTTCAGTTCACTTTTTATACTTATTTTCTATGGCATCCATCCGTTTGCAAGACCGTTGGCTGCATTTTGTTCTGCAGTAGCTACTCACATTGGTGGTCATCAAACGACCTTGTGCCACTGTGCCAAAGCACCAATTTTCATTGAATACCCACCAGTGTGTGTACCCAAAAGACCAAAAAATTTATTTACGTTGCCAGTAAAGCACAAAGCAACGAATAACTTAAATTGTTTTGGTGATTGTTGTAAATAAGAATACGCGCCATGTGAACAAGTGAACAATTGGCGTGAACAACTGTCAGAGTTTGTACGAAAAACCTACGTGGAAAAGTTTTCCCTTTAGTACGATGATGTAGTGCAGTTTTCTTCTCAACCGCAGACGTTGTAGTTACGAATACTTTACTCTCTGCACTGCAACATACACGCCTATGTAGTGCTTGCAATGCCCTAGGTTGCAGTTGCTACCTTACAGAAGTTTTATGTCTGCAATGTAACACGAGTTAAAATAATAAATTATTTATATTAAAATTGTTTGCAATTTGTTCGCATTTATTTTTGAGTTCGAGTTCGAGTTCAGATACTATGTGGGGGTTTAGTGTACATTGAACTTTATTTCACTTCAAGATTCGGTATTATGGTTGAGTTGCTTTCTGTTATTCATTGGTTAAGATCGATAATATTTGTAATCAAATATACAAAGGCATTATTATAATGACAGTTAATTAAGTTCAATTTATTTATAAAGTACTGATAATGGCTAGTAGGTATATACAATACATTTTTAGTTAAGTAGACAGGTTTTGCATAGGCTTATAAAAAGCTTTTACTATTGCCAAATTATTTTGCGTATTTCAGTTTATTTAAGTACTTTTGAAATATCAATTAAATTGATTATGAGTATAGTAAGTATTATATTACGCTTATATAGTACTTTTGTTAAATTATTGTATTTTAAAAATTTCATTATAATATTAAAAAATTATTATTATAATATTAATTTGATAAACACTTTTAATAATTTTAATAAGGTATTCAACCTTATCAAAAAACCTCATATTTTGAAATAAGGTTGCACTGTGATCTTATTGATCTTCTCTTACAGCATGCTAAACTATAAGGTATCCTTAACGAATGTTGTCAGTTCACGAGAGCCGCTAATCAGCATTTTATATTCTACGGAATAATATAATAATTAGAATTATACTTATATATTATTTATATTATATATAATCTTACAAACCTTCGAGCTGTGACAAATGATGCTCGACGGTCTCTGGTTCTGTTTCGCAACTACTACTGCTACAATATTTAAATCACTTGAATTCTAGTCTCTCAATATAACTACCGATTTGTCTACTAATCATTAAGATTCTAATAGGCCCAAATATTTGGTTAGTATTTCGTTTTAGATCTAGCCTACGTTTGATCGCAGTTAACGCTTATAGATATTAGAACAGCACATACATTTCTATTGAAATTTATACTCTAAAATTTACTTAAGATCGTTCAAGATCTAGCGTTATATTTATTGTTGGCATATTATTCGTTTAAGCATATACTAAATGTTTATATTAAAAATAACCTTAAAAACTTTATTCCTAAATTTTCTTATTTCCAATACAACATTCTGTCTTGATTCTAGTATGAACTATCTTCGATGTTTTTCTGCTATATTTATTACTTAACAGCCTCAGTCGATTATCATTCGTTAGTAATGCAAACAAAACAAATTCGTGTTATATCTGTTATATCCTACTACAAAGTTAGGGATAACTTTTTATAAAAATAACTTTTTATTAGTATTTTATTAAGGAAAGTTCCAATTTGAACTCAATCTAACAACGTAATATATATTATATTTTGACTTCTATTTATTAATATATTTTTATTAATTAATGTGTCTATATAGTAAGCATAATGCTTTTAATTTATATTTATGTCACATTCATATTTGCTAGTCCACCAACATAAAGTTGGTTGTATAATATATAGACTTATAAACAAGTTCGATATCATTTCACATTACAGAGAAATTTTGGCCTTATTTATATATCTGCTAAACACTTATATTAGGCACGGACAAACCATTGTTTTATTGTTGTGGTCGGTCATGTAGACCCACAATATATTTTAGACAATGAGTAAACAGAAAGCACATAGTGTTAGTAAGGTGTTAATATGATTTTGCTGATGGCAGTAAATGATTAAATCTAACCTATGTTTTTTTTTTTAAAAAAACGTTTTTCACATTAGTGAAATCAAAGCCTTGATCAAATCGGTTCAGATTTATATAAACAGTGGGATTATGTAAAAGAAGGATATTCTAAAATGTAAAATTGCTGTTGGTATACGAGTCAGAAATCGACGGGCTTGTTAGTAATTAGTAAATATTTACTACCAGGATATACCTTATACTAAATTAGATTGAATATATGCTCTAAGTTGGGACAGTACTATGACTATCAACAATTTTTGATTAAATGATAATTGAGTTATACACCTACATCAAAAGTGTTTTTAATATAGGAATAAATATATAAATGATTCTTTAAAATCTGCAATTATCTAAACTTTTTCAACTCCCTAGCAAAAACTATTTAAAAAATTTATTATTACATTCCATTATTTAGTATGTACAAATCTGTCTATTATCTTTGACTAATCCTTATTTTTAAAACAATTATTTTATAAATTTTATAATTTTTTTTTTTAGGGCAAATAACCTAACAGTTCAGTTCCCTATTTTATAGTAATTTAACTTTAAAAGTAATTTTAATATTAACTCACAAATAAATAAATTTATTTACAATAGTTTATTACAATTTAAATGTTAAATCGAATAAAAATTGTTTATTGAGTCCAATCAGTTCTTAACTATTACTAACTACATTCGGACATTTGAAACAACTACGTGCACATTCTGTGTAAAAGGTAACCGGAATTTGCACTTTAAAAAAAATGTGCATAAAAAATCTTGCTACAATTTTTTATGTATGTTTAAGAAAGTTTCATTCAATTTTTTAAAAATAAATTTCTTCTAAAGAATTTTATTCATTAATAAATTTTTACGAATTTCCCTTATAATGTTTCAATAATTTCCTTATCAGTATATATATATATATATAAATCATTTGTAAATAAAAATTTGCAATTACCTACAATTGCGGAATGCATTAAAGCAATACTCAGAATAATAAAATTTTCTAAGTATATTTTATTATTATTATTTATTCTTTCATGGAAATCAGTTCATTATCATTAAATTTGTATTATTAAAATATTTTTTTTATGGTATGATATTAAAAATAATCCCAACACCTGGATAATTGCACCACATCTGCATGCTTATATATATTGTATAAAATATATGAATAAATATTCTTATCAAATAAAAAAGTTTAGATAAGATACGAAAGTTACCAGTTATATGTAGATATATTTATTTATTTTACTGTATATGTTTATTGTATAAATAAAATCGCCAAGGAGGAATTGCATAGGCAAATATAAAATATGTAAGGTGAAATAAAAATACAGGGTGTACATAAATTAATTTGCAAAATAAACTGCAGACAATAATGCTTTTTATATACTTTATATTTATACATTATCACGAACTGCAAACTAAAGATTTTTGCTATTTTTTAATTTTATTTTATTTAAATCTTTGCAGACACATTCCAAAGGCCAAAGCCACAGCAATTGCAGATACGCCCGAACTGAAGAGGATAGCGGAAAATACAAAAATACAGTCAAATGTGAAATACCACGCAGATTTTGAGAAGGCTAAAGGCAAATTTACACAGGTCAGTGGGTGTTTATAAGAAACGGCATGTCTAATCCAAACTTACACATACACATTTTATTACATTAAGAATAAGATTTGACTTGAGTTTGAGTAAAATTGCTTTTGGCAGCGTATATTTTATCTTTAACAAGTCTACATTTTTTAAATATTTAAGAAATTAGCACTTACATTGAAGAGGAACACTCATAACAGAAGATTTGTCTATATTAATGGCTAACTTTAAATTTTTTGCGGGGTCTTTGACGGGTAGTTTGTTTAAAAGCAATTTCTTTCTTTAATATATAAAAATTACTTATAATTACAAACCGCTCATGTTTTAATAAACTTGTAGATTGATAGATAACAACTATGATGAAAACAAGTTGTTAAAAATTGTTAATGAAATGTTCTGTGTAAATAAATTGTTATCTGGTTAATTGTAAAATTGTTGATTGCTACATTTTTATGCTATTAAACTATCAAAGTTTGTAGTTGTAGTTTTAGAATTACGCAAATTTCTTCTATTACTCAATTTATATATAGAAGATCTAATTCTCTTTTTTACTTTTCAATGGTATTAGATTAATTTGATGCTGCTAAGCTCAAATCTAGATTTGTAGCAATAACGGATCTGTATTTTAGGTTAGGTTATACCGACGATCCGAAGAGATCCACTCAGGCCTATAGGCCCATGGTTTTACTATATATAGCATAATTCAGTGGCTTAGAACTACTTAGCACCTTTGGCAAAGTTTATAGTGCTATTGAAGGGGAGGTCTTGCAGTTGCCTAAGATCTTCAAAAAAAAGCCCCTAAAGTGATAAAGCAGCACCGCGCATGTTTCGGAGATGAAAGGCACTTTTATCGTTGTCACCACAACTAAGACAGGCATGATTAAAAGGGATATTCAATCTTCAATAGAGCGTACAAATTTAAAAATTGCATTTTAATGAACATGAATATTGTGTCAAGCAAACTTGCTATAATTAAATAGTTGAACATTTTTGCCTTATGCATCACAATACAAACTCCCATCCTTCCTCAAAAATAGAAATGGATAGCACTAAGAGGATTACATTCTTCCATTAATACTCCATCATTTTTTATGTTAGGAACTCTTTTTCAAAAAAGAGTGCTATAGTTTTTCTGATGGTTTGTTTTTCATAAGGTGATATTAAGAAATATTTGGAAAATCCAACCTAGCGCAAAAATATTTTTCTATTTATTTATAGTAAGATTGCTGAACATAGTATATCATATCAGGAATATCTATTCTACAAGTATTTTTGTTTCCATTATGTAAAATTTGAAAAATAAAGTGCTCACAAACTGCGCTTAATATACGAAATGAAAGAAGTGTCTGTTAACTACGCTAAAAGCATGGAATAGTAAAAGAAGGAAAATGTTAATTGATTTCAGTAAAAAGACAAAAAAAAATTATTTCCCTGGAAAATCTATGTTTTCATATGATGTTCAATACTAAAAAGTGCTAATGTATTAATCTAAAATCGAGTGACATAAATCAATAACTGTTCTCTTTCATGTTTGAAGTGGATATTATACTGACTTTTTTGAAATTCTTTTTTTTACTAAACAAATCATTGACTTATCTATTTTATAGAATTTAATTTTTTCGATAATTTTTAAAATAGTATTTATATTTTTCTCATTCCCTCTTTCTCATATTGCCATACAAATTAAATCAATTTTTTAAAATATATGCTAAAGTATTAACTTTTAAAATGTCTATTTACTATTAGGTCGCCGATGATCCCGAAACATTGCGAATTAAACAAAATACGAAAATCATCTCGAATGTGGCCTATCATGGTGACTTGGAGAAAAAGGCCGCTATGGAGAAACAGCGTGAGACCGCCGAAATTGCAGATAACCGTGGTAAGTTTGTGTTTATTAACAAAATCTTATAGCTAGTCTAAATGTACACAGAAGCTTTTTAATATGAAATAATATCTCATACAATGCGTAATCGTAATCGTATTGTGGCATATTAACTTTTTAATGTGCTTAAATCATTTTAATTATTTGTTGTTGTTCGTCATGATTTAAAATAGTTACGAAATCATTTTCTATCGTGCAATGCTTCAAAATGATGTAATATTTGTTCAAACAATTGTATTTTCACATTAATTTTGCTCGTTTCCTTCCTAAATCAAATGAAATGTTGTCTATAAATAAATATTTTCACTGGAATCAATGCCCATTTAACGTTATTATTCAATTTGTTATTTTTTTTTTATATCTTTTTATTGAACTAATCATTCGAAATCATTTACGATGTAGTCATAGAATGATTTTAATTGACATTTTAATTGAATTTAGAATGTGATAAAACCTATAACACATAATATTTCAACACTATATATTACTCATTAACCACATGCAATTACGAAATCCTATAAGGAGAAAACATATACTATATTATAATTATCCTTACACAAACTATTCAACTTTATTGTATTTTCTAATGTTTTTCATTTTTTTTACTTTACATAAATGAGTACATTTTCTAAGATTTTATCCCTTTCTTTCTATATATTTATCTCTCTTAATCTACTTTTTCAATCTACACAAAATATATACTATGTAATCTAATGGTTAGGTTATGTTCGGAATGCGCGTGCTGACCGTTGTCAGCACTTCCACTCGGACATATATTGCCCATTGTGTTACCCTCAAAAATTTTGCCAGGAGAGGCGAATTGCTAACCTCTGTAATCCTTGTTAAACCATTTGGTTTTCCAGATGTAATCTTATAATAATAAATCTAATGTAATAGTTAATCAAATACTATATTTATACTTAGACTTCTCAAATCTCTTTAGCATATTTGAATTTTCTTTGAAAAGTGACACACTATGCATACCGAGAAGATATTTCTTTCGGGATATTTGATGTCTTGAACAGAATATTCTTGTACCTAACAAAGTTATTAATTTATTTACTTTATATATTAATACAAGAGAATCTGTTATAGTGGATTATTTTCCTAAAAGTAATTATTATAGTTAATTAAATTTGAAATATAATAGTGAAAATTTAGATTTGCTGAAGATTCTTCAGCATTTGATAAGAAATGACATCATTTAATTACATTTAATAATAATTCGAACCTAGTCCCATTCATGGAATTGAATTAATTTTATATATTATATTACAATATTTCAACCCATTAACAGATTATTATTATTAAAAGAGTAGACGTAAAAATTTCCCAACAGCCGGTACTGCGACAAAGCCCCTTAAAGCTTTGTGAATAAAGTCTAGAACTAAATCTAGAGAAGAGTTCTTAATCTGTTCTGGTGACAGAAATTCTTTATGAAACAGGTTTCTTCTGTGCGTTATTAAAGCTGGACAGTCACAAAGAATGGGCATGGTCGTTTCCTCATCTTCGAGGCATAATCTGCATTCTGAGTTAGCAGATAATTGTAGTTTATGAAGGTGAGATTTCAGACCATAATGACCTGTAATGAAACCCGTTATCAACCTTAAATTACATTTTGAGAATTTAAGAATGTCTTTGTAGGAGTACAGTGTTATCAGTGCTTTGCTTTGTCTGAGTCCTGAAAAGTTTACCCAATACTCCAGCCGCATATGATTTTCCATTTCCCAAAACTCCTCTGTGGCCCGGAACCCAGTAAAGGCTTAGCTTATTCCGAGCTGCAAGTGATTGCAGAAGCTCATAACACTCAAGGACCTGTTTTGATTTGAAAGTCCAAGAAGAAAGAGATGATATGAAACCTATTCTTTAGATATTTTCATTTTATTTTGAGTCATTTTCACTTTTGTTTTTTTTATTCCCTTCGTTTTTACATAATTTCTAATTCTACGATGCGAAATGGATTTTGTCCATCAACATAAATTGCCATCATTGTCTCTACATGTTCTAAAATGTTTCTTCAGTTTTTTAGTTTAAGCACTGACAACTTATATAAAGCCAACGCCATAGAAAATAACTGTAAAAATGCGAACGTTCCATCGTGGTTCTATCTACAATAACGTATCCTTTATTCAATTGTTTATTATAAAGCAAAGAATAAACTAGACAAGAAAACGGTGAAACTTTTCCACATGTAGAATAAACTATCAGGCCTATTCTGAATCGCAAGGGAATGGGAGTTTGTTCCCTGTTCCCAATTCCCCTATTCTGAATAAATTTGGTATGTTCCCTGTTCCCAATTCCCCTATTCTGAATCGCATGGGAATGGGAGTTTTTTCCTAATTTTGCACAAATTTTCTCCCTACCAAATTGTTGGGGACACAAGTTAAAAAAGTATTAAAAA